TCCCCAAAACCCCAAAACCCCATTCATTTGATAAAATACAAATTGAAACAAAAAAGAAATTGAGAATTAATTAATCACTTAAATTAAATGAATAACGTGAATAATGTTAAACTATGTTTATTTTTTAAAATATTATCAACATCTTAGAAGAAAAAAAGTGTATAAAAAACCCTTCAAAACAGAAAACATCATAATTATCAATTGAATGTTCCTTTCCAAAATCAAATAGAGCTTTTCTAATAAAATATCTCCCTTATAATTAGACTCATCTCTGCTTAGAAATAATTTGGGTAAAGCTTTTTAAGATGTTTGCCATTTATTTTTCCAATCGCAATATCATTATAGATGTGAAATAATAAATCCTATAAACTTCCTTCCTCTTTTTCATTACTTTAATCAACAGTATATTTGTCTGATGCAAGTTAGTTTAGGATGATAAAAAGCTTATTTATTACTTTGATATCATCTTTTTCACGAATCAAAAGCTTATCTCCTTCAATAATATTGCTTGCAATTTTCTTATTAAATGTTTCCAATAAAACAATATCAAAAGCATACTATACTAGTTATTTGGCAAAATACTGACCACCTAAATGAGTATCAATAGCACCATATTGTAGCAATACGCATAAAAAATCAATGAGTTCTTTTATTTCTTGAACATAGGTTTATTCCAAAGCTGAAAAATGATGGACTTAAAGAATTGAAGAAAACTCTGATTGTGCATCATCATTGATGCAAGTCATAAAAATTTTGAATTCTAAAACTCTTAACATTTCAACCTCCTTGCTTATTATTTATCTCCTTGTAAATTTCAAATGACCAGCTCTTACAACTAATTCATCAATATCGATTGGAGATACATCTTCAAATTTTGAACTTATTATAATACTAGTCATACCAACCAAATGCAAATCATCTTTATTTATCTTATTAGATAGGCCATAGTTTTTTATAAAGTATTTATCCATAATTTATACAGATATCATAAAAGTCTTAAGCGAAGCAACTTTAAGTACTCTCATGACTTATAGCATCCAGTTAACCATGTTTTAACGATTCCTCATACTTATTCCATGAAAATCATATGCTTAAGCTAATGGATTCTATTTTTGACCAGGAGATACATTTCTGTGACCTAAGTTTTTATCAATTAATCCTATATTTGATACATCTTCACCTACTGATTTAATCTATTTATAGTGTTCACCTTGCCTATCTTAATGTGTAATTTACTGTTCAAAAATGCATTCAGTATTATTGTTTTTTGCTTAAGTCTAAATTTTAGAGTCTTCTCTTTAAGATTTATACTAAAGCTCGATTTAAACTCTTTTGTATTAGTCATAGTTTTTCTGTGACATTAGAAACTTTAAAATCTATGGTGACTTTGTGATTTAACTCTCTTAATCGAACCTCTTATTTTTTTCATTTTCTGTTTGCAAATAGTTGTATTAAATATTCTAATACCTAATCCTTTAGTTTTTGATCTTATTCTCTACTAAAGTAGACTCACTTAATGCATTTTAATTAAGGAAAGATTGAGAAACAGCTAAGTAAGCATCTTTTATTATTTTGTTTCCTATATTTTACTAAATATTCTCAAATATTTTGGTAAGATGCATTGTAGTGTCCAAATTAAAGCCTCTTTACTATTGATCTGTTGTAGCATTCCCTTAATTGAGGGGGATGATGAAATCTCTGATTGTCGGATTGTAATAGTCATGATAAAAATTATTTTCTTTTATTTATTCTTTGGTGTTATGGATCATTTGTTTGTTTATTGTGATTCTTAATTTTAATTACTTTACTATCAGCTAATTTCTTGTATCTGAATTTAATTTTGGTATGCTTTCTAAAATAAATGAAATTAATCCTAAAAGTTTATTTAAAGTTTTATTATCATCCTAATTTTTATAACAATTCCTTATGTTTTTGCTTTTTTCGCAAATAGGGGTTTTGGGGTTTTGGGG